TATCCTAAAAGAGATATCACTGAAAAGGTTTAAAAACTCGAGAGTTTCTGAAAACTGTATTGCCTCATAATAAAACAGTAACATAATAGCCCAGAATTCTTTGACAATAACAAATTATTGGCAGTTCAAAAAGTTAGGTCATTTAGGTATTCTGAGCACAGAGGGAAAGGTCTGCTCTTATTTATTTTCTCTATTTCAAGCAAAACATAAGGAAGTAGGTAGTAATGTAGTAATCCACTGTTCCTTCATCAACACAGAATCTAATATCTCAATTGTCTCAATAATATTTCAACCAGCAAATTTGAATTTGTCATTTTTCAACCTGATCTCGATAATGTCGACAGGTGCAAAACTTTGATACCAGGTTTCTAATATGCCTCTTTGCAACCAATATCGTTTTCGTTACATGGAGGTTTACAAAAATGCCCCACATGCGAATGGACTGTAATATAAGCTAGGGAAAATATGTGTTTTGGCAGAATTAAAAAAAATTGGGTGCTTCATATCATATGCTAGATTGGATCTCTGTAGACGTCCACCAACAAAGATTAACCTACTTTCAAAATTTTAGTGACGATCTGTCTTTTGTTATATTTGACCTGTAGTAGGCTTCTTTGTGATCCTATTCATACTAACGTATATTGCCGTCGCCCATATCCATCCATCTGCCTGTCTTGAAGTTTTGAACTTGAATTTTTTAATTTTGAGAAAATTTATATATTAGTTAATAAAAACGTTGTTATCATTTCTGACAGCTGCCAGTGGCAAGCTTTATTCTAGTCGTGGTATTGTTATTCTTTTGAGTAATTTTTTATGTACCGAGAATAAGGGAACATAGATGTATCTTATCGTCTTTATTAATCTGACAGATATAAAGCAGCACCATATCCAGACTAAATGGCATGACTGACATAGATGTTGTAAAATGATGTTTCCTGGTAATAATAAAAGGCAGCTTATCTTAAAAGATCATGTTATTATATTCTGCTTATTGTTGAATAGATTCTCGTTACTGTCTGTTGTAATTTTGAAACCATGGTTGTTAGGAATAATCAGATACAACCCCTCACTAAATACAACAAACCCAATATTATTATACAGGCATAGCAACCTTTATTGTCTCGTTCAACCCAGTATTCGGCATTCCACACCGCTTATTCCAATTTCTAAAGGAAGTATTCTTCTAAAGTATTAATCTGATTTTTGGTTGGTTTGGGTTATATACCCCATGGTGCTGAGTTTTTCTTTCATCAATCATGTTGATGGCAAACCTCTTGTCTATGAATTTCTTCATAAACATTGTATAATCTTATGTAGATATTTGCCCAGTTCCTTCTTTAAATATCACATTCTTTGTACAGACTGTTTTCTGGTAGTTGAAAGTTCTCAGTTTTAATGGCAAGATGTGACCTTATAGTGACCACTTTCATTTTGTCCTTATCGAAGGTTGTAGACCATTTAGGAAAATCAAGATTTAATGATCGATGATCAGAAGACATTAATTTACCCATTTCAGCATTCACTTGACACCTGTTAATGATGGGCTGCATCGTCCTGGCGCTTTCGAACAACATTCAATACCAAAGGATGATCTTGAGGCGTTTGGAAAGCCAGATCAATGACTTCTAAATGTGTGAATGCATCTGCTATGCGATTTTCAACACCCTTTAAAAAGAAACTGTTTTCCTTTTTGATGCTGACATCTTTTGATCAATTTCATACCTGTCAATGTAAAAAATGCTGATCAATCTCGTCGTTAGTATAAAATACATACATACATACTTTCTTCATTCATAATGTGATGTGAAACACATGTAGCCGCGAGCTACTAGACAGCAAAAATCATTATCAAAATCTAATTATGAAATTAATTGCTGTCTATTATGTCGTGGTCTAAGGAAGGATCGTCAATGTAACTTTCAAACCTGGATATTTATGGTTACACATGAAAAAATCTTTTAGAAAATAAACATACATTTGCTTTTTTATCATTGTCTTTACCAACTTTCCCATCACTCTTAATATTTTTTTGTTCTCTCGGGACTCTAGCAACCTCAATGAGTAGTAAAACCAATTCTATAGTCTGATTGATAAAGGCCATTTATTTGAATGACGTAAAAATCATGAATACAAAATATAAAGACAGTTTGCCAGGCAAGTTAACATACGCCCACTTGCAGCTGTCTAAATCTTTACTGACCACAAATATATAATATAAGATCTTCATAAAAATACGAAATTTCTTATATTGAAGAACTTCAATGTGCATTTGTAGTTCAAAAACCCTGAATATCTCATCAATTTGGGGTCAGGTATGCTGAGTTTTTCCACAAATATTTTTAAATCAATAGCATTAACCTATAAGCATTAAATCATCACACTCCTCTCTGTCTGAAATGTTCAAAGTTGTTTTATCAAATTTGACAAGGTCTCATCTTCATAGACAAATTTGAATTTTATTCAGATCTCATTAATACATACCTGCATACCACGTTTCATCAAGATCCGATAAAAACTGTATCCCCCATCGTGTTTTCAAATTTGATATATTTTTACCAAGTCAAGGGCAATAACTCAAAAACCTTTCTTTCAAAATGAGCCGAATTCATACGTAACCGTGATTTTATCAATATACCAAGATTCATAACTATAAGATAAAATCTGTAGCCCCAATTATGTTTACAAGCCAAATTAGACATATTTTACTAAACCATTCATCCAAAATGAGCCAAATTAGAACTTGACAATGATCATTTTAAATATACATGCATACCTAATTTCATTAAGATCTGATAAAAACTCGATCATGTTTACAAGCCAAATTTGGTGTGTTTCTAATAAGCCAAATTCATACTTGATCAATATTTTATTATTATGTACATGAATAGAAAGTTTCTTCAAGATTGGATATAAACTGTAGCCTCTATCATGTTTACAAACAAATTTGATGAGTTTTTTTTTACTAAGTCGAGAGCAATAACTCGAAAAATCGTCAAATAAGAACTTGACTGTCATTTTATCAATTCCAAAAATTGATGCGATTTTACTCAGTCAAGGCAATAAGTCAAAAACGGTTCATCGAAAAATCGTCAAATTCGAACTTGACCGCCATCTTATCAATCCCAAAGCTCACACCAAGTCAAAATCCATTGAAAATTGTAGCTTCTTTTTTGCCCACAACAAAATTTTGACATGATTCCACGACGCGATTATCGCGTTTCCGAGCATATTTTTCTCCGAAAGTTTATCGCCTGCAAGACAGACCGCCACCATCCAATCAGATTCATTTTCCATTCACTTGCATGCTCCGCATATGATTATCGGCATGGTGGAAAACGATCGACTGGAGATTTTGTCTCATCGTGTGCTCGCACCATTAAGAACGATTAACAAATCGACTTTTGAAAATATTTGCAACAGTGTTGACAAACATAATACAATTCACATCCATATGTAAAATATTCTAGAATTGTCTTAAACTCACATACCAGCTTAACCGAAACCGTTCCACTTTGTCGATGTGACTTTTGTTGTCGATACTGACCTCTTTGAATCTTCAGTGGAAGTCGCTCCTATAAAATGCATTTTGACCCGCCCCACAACTAAAGAAGCTTTTAAAAGTTTGTATGTGCAAATTGCGCTCGTATTTACACGAGGACTGTTGAGACAAAAGGCTCTCACAGAGTTTTATTCCTTGTATTTTTCCATTAAATTAAATTACTATTATCACACTTCAATTCTCGTTGTTTGTTCCTTAACTGTAAGTTTTTTCTCTGGCAGACTGCGACATTAAAGGGCAACAATAATCACATAATGTGATGTAAAACACATCTAGCCGCGAGCTACACAAAATAATTATAAAAATCCAATTATGAAATTAATTGCTGACCTAGCAACCTTAGTCTGGTGGCCATATACCAGATTTTGATGAAAGTTTATTTTAGAGTACATACCATGTGTTATTGTTTTTTTTCTGCTTGCGATAGCCCTTCTGAACACATTTCCACCGGGTGCCACTTCGGCACCCTTGGGTAATTTTTTTTATGGACCAATTTGCCGCCATCCTCAATATTCCAAATACTATTTCTGTCATAACTTTGCGTCTAGAGCACCAAAAGACATAATTTTGGTGTCAATATACATGTATTCAGGGTCAATGAATTCATATATAATGGTTTTTATTACCCGTATTATCGCGATAATTTAAATTAAAACATTTAATAGTCAGTAAGAATTGTCAGAAGTCATGTATAATTTAACAAAGTGTAACTTTTATCCAAATAATTTATTCACAAATTGGTGTTGGTAAAGTTCGTCATTATTGGTGTCAAAAAGAAATATTATTACTTATAATAAGCAGTCCAACAACTTCCGCTACTACCAGTCCAACAACATCTCTTACCACTAGTCCAACAACATCTCCACTACCATCTTACTACATCCCTTTCTATCAGTTCAACAACCTCCCCTAATACTAGTCCTACATCACCTACAGTCAGTCCTACAACAACCCCTACCACCAGTCTGACAATATGTCCATCTACCAGTCCAACCATTTTTCCTACCAGAAATCAATATAAATCCATCGACATCTACTACCAGTCCAATATTCTTTCCCACTAATCCAATAACATCCCCTACTAATACTCTTTACTGTCAGTTATAAAACACCCCCTACCACTAGTTGAACAATTCTACTACAAGTCTTACAACATCTCCTACCCCCAGACAAACATTCTCTTTTATTACCAGTCCGACAACATCTCCTACCACCAATTAAACTACCAGTTTACCAGCATCTCCAGTCACCAGTCTAACAAGCTCCGAAAATATTATTCCTGCATCATCCCCTACTACCAGTTCAACAATAAGCCCTAATAGCAGTCTAATTACACCCACAACTACCAATCCTACAACATCTACTACCAGTCCTACTATCAGTTCATGCTACCCGTCCAACAACTTCAATTGTATTTGTTGTCGGACTGTCGGTGGGAGAAATGGCTGGCCTGGCGGAAGATGTTATAGGACTGGCAGTAGGTGAAGTTGTTGGACTGGTGGTAGAGCATATTCTAAGACTGGTGGTAGGCGATTGGTTTTAGGGGACTGATGTAGGCCTTTTAGTAGGGGGTGTGGTAGGCCTGGTAGTTGATGATGTTGTTGGACTAGCAGAAAGAGAGGCTGTTGCATTTGTAGTTTTTGATATTGTTGGACTAGTATAGGGGAAGCTGTCGGACTGGTGGTTGGGGGTGTTATGTGAGTGAATTTTGTCTAGAAGTGGTTAGACTGGTAGTTGAGGACTTTTAGTAAGAGATGTAGTTGATGACTTTTCATCATTAGGTGACTTAAGGACTTGTAGGGGGAGTGGTCGAGTAAAAGTAGGGGATGCTGTAGAATTGGTAGTTTATGTTGTTGGACTGGTAGTTTGAGATGGTGTCGGACTGGTGGTAGGGGATGTAATAGGACCTGTAGTAGTCAAAACATTTTATGGATACAAATTATATGTTTCAGAGTAATGAACTTCTGACGGTTTTTTTTTTATTGAGTATTGAATATTTCATATCAATTTAAAGGGACAGATGCGCCATTTCATGACCAATCATACCCTAGTCACAGAAAAGGGAATTTTTTTATGTTCACAGCTCAAAATTCGATTTTGTAATCCATGTGAAAATGATCCAAAATTATCCATGTTTTAAAGTTAAAAAAAAAACGAGTCGAACCACTGCCATGATATTGAAAAGAAATCTACAGAAATAGGAAAATAAATTCCTTGTTTGAGATATGCTTGAAGGAATTACGCGACTTTCGTACATTTCTAGTACTATTTACATATATTCGACTCAACCTGAAGTAGAAACAACATTAAAACATTGTATATATACCAGTACTCCAAAACATACTTTTGTGCTCTACCACTGGACTACCTGTATGTGCAGTAAAACCAACTCTGTATTGTGATTCATAAAGGCCATTTATTTGAATGACGTCAAAATCATTAATGCATAAAAAAACATATGAAAATTAAAACATAGTTCAAACTAAAAATAAAATTCCATTCAATTACTCATATTATACTTCAATTCTCGTTGAATACGTCGTTTGTTCCTTAAATGTAAGATTTTCTCTGGTAGACTGAGACATTAAATTGCAACATTCAGTATTTTCAATTTTTATTGGGACAAACATTTAAAATGTAAATAGCGCCCAGGCGTACTTGAAAATACACGAAAATAACATAATCTTTTAAAAATAACACAAACTACGACTTTTACTTTCTTCATTCTTATTGTTATGAGAAACACATCTAGCCGCGAGCTTCAAAACAGAAAAAAATCATTATAAATATCCAATTATGAAATGAATTGCTGTCTTTTATGTTGTGGTCTTAAGTCAATGCAACTTTCAAACGATATTTATGGAAACAACTGAAGATTCGTTCACATTTCGGCAGAGTTTTGAACACTCTTATTGATGATCTTGGCTGCAAAATTCCCATACCTGAGGCAAAGGTTTGATTGATCGCGCAGATTGCGAACGTGCCCGTTTAAAGTGTACATTAAGATCGACTGAAATTTCAAAGCATTTCATCAGATTGTTTGATACGAGCAAGAAATGAAATGAAATAAAATGAAATGAATGGAGTTTTACTTGACACGAATGAGAAGCTCCTATCGAAAAATTGACCTGGATTGATTAACTTAGATAGATGCCGGCACTTATGCCCAGAAGCTCCAATTAATTTTTAGAACGTAACACATGGTAACTGTCGACTATATTGAGTTTTCAGACAGAGCGCACAGAACGACAACAAATCCAGTGACTGTTCAGATCTCACAGATACTACCATTCACTTGTTGATTCTCTCAGTCGACCGAGAAAAGTGCATCTGTAAAGGTGTGGGCACGAGAACGGTGGGCAATTTTTGTCACTAGTCTTGTCAAGAGTTTCACCGACCTGCTGCTGGCACACGTGGAGACAAAAATCTTGTCCCAACAATTCTCTGACATTTTACCACCAAGCAACAACTACAAGTATTTTCATCAACATGGTGCTGGAAATAGGAATGTTGTAGAAATATTGATAGTGTCAACACACCTTAAGTGAGCGGGGATTTCGTAAAATATGTCTTGAAACGAGAACTCTTCTGGATTTGTCGACTAAAAAAAACCACAATACATATCCTACATTCATTAAAAAGGAATATAAATGAACGTTTCCTTAATTATGTTTGATTTTCTACAAAAAATGTGTCACATTTATCATTAAATTCTTGAACTAACAATATTCTACCTGAACTATAGTAGGGCGCCTACTACACAAAGAAACCTAACACAGGAAACGGTTAATGAAAACAAACAGATCAGATCCATTGTTTTTCTATTATGAAAGAAATACATTTCCTGCTTTTAAACCGCCTTTATAGAACTTGATAGAACATTGTCTTACAACGCGCTTTAAAGATTATTATAAACATTAGATCTTTTTAAATGTGTTAATTGGATTGAAATGAACTTTAAGTAGTTGAATTGAACTATTATCGTTCTATTTTCAATGCGCCATTTGATAATATCAACAAGTGTCAAAAGAACATAATGGACCAAATTCAAATATTTATAATTTATCAGAAGAATGGAGCTTTTTGCCCCATGCTCGTTCAGCGCTAGCAGAATGTTATATCATAGCAATTAGCAACCATAAATCTCTAAACTAACCATATTTAATGTCAACCATTGAGAAGAAGAAATGTTACACCCACATGTTGAAAGAGAATTATTTCGGGGAGTTGTATTGACTGTGTGTAGAAAGTTATTAACGTCTGGAATCAAAGCAGCAAGAGAGGCTAATTCGCCAACAGAGTAATTTTGCTACCAAACAATTAAAAGCCTATAAAACTTTAATGTGTTTACTGTTTTTTTTGGAAATACTTATGAAAATCCTAGAATTTTCAAATTTGTACATCATATGGTAAATGAAATTAATATGTATATTTTTCAGAGTAAAAATCAAGACCCCCAAATCAGACTCAAATCTATTTTTTACATTTGGTTTTAATTCCAGAATATCTTGAACATTTCGAAAGTCGTCACAGCTAGTTCTATCTATTAGTAGTATTCGATTCTATTTTGAAAAGTGGAAATTAAAACCCATTTTTGCACCTTGACCATTTGTCCATATCTGGTACGGAATATCATACATTGCTCAAGTTCAATTAGTTGACCCGAGCTAGCAAAATTAAGTTGTATAGAAATGGTATGCTTAAAAGATTTGGTCTCAGTGCCATAGCAGTAGTGGTCAAAAATACCATGTACGGAGGAAAATATCTACTCTAAGGGAAACACCAATACACTTAACAGATTTAGAAAACCTCTTAACAATCCCTTTAATTGCATGTTCATTGGTAATTTTTAACACAATTTCAACAAAATGGTTTGTTTAGACGGATCTTTTAAACTTCTTTTTATTGAAGAGCAAATAATTAATTCCATAATAACTCTTTCTGAAAGGCGTTGACAGTCAAGTTGTATTGTCGCCAGGTATCGTACCTAGTAAAATAGGCTTTTTCAGGATCACGTGAAGTTCTATTAGTGTTTACATGTAATGCCTTGAAGCAGGTTACTTCAATTTACATAATTACTATTGAATATCACAGTGGGAAGTCTTCGGTTGTTCAAATGTTTAGAGTGTGAAAATAACATATGATTATCGAATAATTTCAGATCCAGTATTTAGCTAAGATGATGAAGACGTGTCAGATATCTCTAAGTAGAATATATTATTATATACATGTAGTATGGCTGTTAATTGCTTTGAAAACAGGTAAGTCAAGCGAGTTTTTCTGTCTTCGGAATTTCATTTTAACCAGTAATTCTAATCAATTATGACAGTGCAGGGATACTCTCTGAATGTATCGATTAAGGACGAGACATTTGAGATCGACCGAATCTGTAACCTATGTATGAGATTTTTGCCCCAAAAACTTGCTTTCGGGGCTCCGCCACTGGAATCGCCATCCATCTCAATTTACCTTCCATCTCAACGGTGACCTACCTAAAACCATGCCTACCCACCCAGAAACGACAACAGAAACGACCACAAGACTACCGACACCATCAAGTACCGATCCGGAGGGGAAAGAACCTTTTGTCAAGTTTTTCTTCAAAGTACTGCTCTGCAGTGTCTCCATAGCTTGGTAATCCTCACCCCCCAAAAGAAAGGTCAGCATGCGTTCACCTTCAAACGCAAAGTTTCTGATTTGGATATTTTTATTTGCCATGCAATGGAACATCAGCTGTTGGCGAGAATATTCGAAACCTTAACCGGATGTGGCTTTGTGATGCAGGTTTTGGTCGACCATTACCAAATCACCCACCAAGACGTGCTGACCACCATGCGTGCAAATTTATTTTAGTACCGTCGACTGCATCATCTCAATCGCTCCTGTCGGAACGTCTTAATCGTAACGTCGACAACCATACCCCTTTCTCAAAACGTATGCATAGCTCCGCCCACTAATTTCACAACGAGGCTAAGTGGGCAACGTGTTCAGCTGTAAATAAACATGGCCGACACCACGTTAACGAAGCTGTGAAAAGAAGAGCTTGATGATATAGCTTCGTCACTTTTATAATGGTTTTCGATTGTTAAAGACTAAAAAAATTAACAGGACGAATGGCCGAGCTTCAACTAGTTCAAGTTTTAGCCAGGTAAGTAAGTCTGTGAGTAGAGCCTACTCAGTCACCAAAAGTAAAAGATGACTGAGTTACTAGCCTAACCTACTCTCCTACAACTGCGATTTGTTAAATTATATTTCGTGATTGGAGAGTAAGTGTAATCTTATCTGAATAAGAGAATCTGCTCCTCTGGATTTAGTACAGTAGCCTACAGTGTAGGTAGAGTAGATAGAAGTAGGCCTGGATTGTCAACATTTCAAATCAGTCTTAGTAGGGTAGGTCTGTCTTACTTATCTTCTTGGGCTTGGTCCCTTCTGTTCTTTGTGCCTTTTTTAGCCATGGCACAGGCCTATTGCAGCTATGTTAGTTCATTACTAGCCTACACAACTAAATAGTTTTCTTTAATAATCTTCGATCTACATTAGTAATATTCTAAATACAACACCACACAGCCCCACCCCAGTCCAACAAACAAGTGCCCTACAACATTTAGGCAAATTTGTCATAATTTTATACTTAAATAGCACCAGCAGGCTGTTTACACATACTGACATAGGCCTACGTGTGCATGTAATGTTTTAACATATTACTGATGGCACAATAGTTTGCTCACATAATTTTCAACTTGGTTGCAGTGATGGACCAAATTGAAAAGATCTATACAATCCAAAACTAACTGGGGTAACCCATTAATGTAAGAAGTTTGCCCAGAAGATGTACTGGAGAAGATAAATATGTAGATGAATCAAATGATGTTTGACATCAATAAGGAAAAACTCCTAAGGTAAGCCTTATTTGTCTTATTTATTGGTAACATTATTTCTTAGAGAGATAAACCAAATAAGTATAGAAGTATGCCCTGCCCCACAAGGGTAACTTTTGAGTGAAGCTCAAATTCAATTTAAGGGTTTGTAATCAATTGCAATATTTAAATAATATCATATCGAATTTGAAATTGAATATCATTGAAATAATCAGGGCTAATATATAATTCTTATCTGTTTAGGTTTTATAGCACAAGACAAATTAAGAGCATGAGGGCGAAAATGAGAATCTCCAGGATCAAGTGACAGAAAAAAAGGACTTGTAATATATACATGTACATGTTGTTGAATTATAAATGTATGTTAACATCATATGAATTTTTGCACTGAATTATAAAAAAAAAACACTATCAATTTTGTCTTTTATTTCATTCCATATTATTCAAATTATAATATAATTTACAGCATATTACATAATGAATTGATAAAAATGTGACATTCTCATGGAACTAAGGAGATGTTTATCTTCACATGATCTAGAGAAATCTAGTTATACATTCACATAAATCACATACCACATGATACCAACCACATGTATCTTTAAATAGGAAATCCTTTCCCAGCCTAAAACAAAAACAAAGACTTGTTAATTAAAGCATACCGATTCTTCTCTAAGGCCTTTTTTCTAATCAGTTAGTCTTACACGTTAGAACTAAAAGAATAGGCACATTCTCGAATCAGGCTATCAACTTGAACTCATTAGAACTACAAGTTGTCATTCACATTTTATCATGCCCTAGAATCCGAGGCATAGAGTACTGAGTAGAATTATACTAGATTAGCTTAAGCAGTAAGGCAAATACCGTAGTAATAATAGGCCTTACTGACTAGACCAATAATGACAAAATAATTTAGCAATCTCATGTTATACCCGTAAACAAGATAGCTTGCCAGGCAAGGTTATATATATTTAGCAGTACAGTAACAATCACCAGTATGAAATATTCAACCTTCAGTCATACACTTCTTTTGAACTCTTTAGGGCGATACTGAATAATATTGAGTATGAGTTATTGCCCTAGTTCTTGAAAACGTGTTCAAACTTTAGCTCGTGAAAACTCTAGAAGACAAATATTCAATCTTCAGCGCGGTAATGAATAATAAAACCAAGTTTGGTCAAAATTCGGCAAGAATCATGCCTTCTAGAGTTTTTATGATCTACAATTTGAACTAGTTTTCAAGATCAAGGGCAATAACTCATACTAAATATTTTTTCGATTTTTCTCATTTTCAATAGGCTTTACCCATGAGTGATAACAAACACTCAAGCCAAATTTCGTTCAAATCCGTCAAGAATTGTGCCTTCTAGAGTGTTTACAAGCTAAAAATTGAACGCGTTTTCAAGAATATGGGCAATAACTCATACTCAATATTTTTAGATTGTTCTGATTTTCAATAGGGTTCATCCTTGGGTGATAACCAACACTCAAGCCAAATTTCGTTAAAGTTCGTCAAGAGTTGCCCTTCTAGAGTGTTTGCAAGCTAAAATTTGAACGCGTTTTCAAGAACAAGGGCAATAACTCATACTAAATATTTTTCAATTTTTCGGTTTTTCAATACGGTTTATCCATTTGTGATAACCAACACTCATGCCAAGTTTCGTCCAAATCCGTCAAGAATTGTGCCTTCTAGAGTGATAACTAAAAATTTCAAGAACAAGGGCAATAACAAATACTAAATATTTTTTAATTTTTCTGATTTTCGATAGGGTTTATCCTTGGGTGATTACAAACACTCACACCAAGTTTCGTCAAAATCCATCAAGAATTGTGCCTTCTAGAGTGTTTACAAGCTAAAATTGAATGCGTTTTCAAGAACAAGGGCAATAACTTATACTAAATATTTTTCAAATTTTCTGATTTTCGATAGGGTTTATTCTTGGGCGATAACGAACACTCATACCAAGTTTCATCAAAAACCGTCATGAATTGCACCTTCTAGAGTGTTTACGAGCGTTTCCAGAACAAGGGCAATAACTCATAGTAAAAATTTTCGATTCGTCTGATTTTCAATAGGGTTCATATCCTTGGGTGATTACAAACAACCATACCCAGTTTCGTCGATATCAGCCAGGAATTGTGCCTTGTATAGTGTTTACGAGCAATTGTGGATTACGGACGGACCGACCGACGGACCGACGGAAAGAGGTGACGGCAATATACGCCCCCCATTTCATGTGGGCGTATAAAAATGAGATTTACCGACACTCACGTCGGCGATGGTGTGATAACTAGGTCACACTTTTACTCCTTTGGCTTTACACTACAGGCTTTGGGCTTAGTCAACTTAGTGACTTACCTTTGGTTTTGATGTTTGATGTCTATAACGAATATAAGTATCCTCCCGTCAGCGATCTATAACACCATCTTCAAGGAAATGGAAGGTTATGTATTGTAAAATTTGTCGCTAGTTGACGTCGAAATGATAGAAACATGCTAAACAGACCTCCTTGCCCACTTAGCCTCGTTTTGATATTTCTATGAATATTGACGTCATCTCATTAAGAAAGGCCTATTCTATCCGCTAATAAACCATGTTGATTCCTAAATCGACGTGGAAACTACCCAAGGCTGTCATACATTATCTAATGAAAATGAACAAATACGAACAGTCAAATTTCTCGAGCTATCACGTACGCGAAGCCTTCTCTCGCACGGGTAGAGAGAAGAGCCCCGAAAGAAAGACGACAGCATTGTAACGAAGGATCTTCCGAATGTTATCCGTATTTCGAATCGATGTGTCGTCTATGTAGGCCTACACTTTATCGATAATACTAATGTTAGAAATGTTAATGTCAACAAAGAACTTGATATACACCCAGACAGATCCAATGAACTCTTAGACATCTGCCTCTTAGTGTACTTGCAAGCACTCGTAATAAGTAACAAACGACTCGCTTAGCGTTTTAATTTCACTTATTGGTAGCCTATAAAGATGATGTCCTCTCCGTGTACTTCAAAATACTTTTTACTTTGCTTAGACAATAACATGTGAAAACTCGAATATAATTAATTCAGGTTAAGAATTTCAAAACAATATGTAGGAGAAACGTAAAATAATTTACGCCCCGATTTAAGGCCCACAGACCGGATGAGTGTGGGTTTTAAATCCCAACCGCCCTACTAACCCAGCCACTAAATGTTTATTTTAAGGATCGCAGATTTCATGCTACGAAACGAAACATTTTCAATTATGGAATCACAGACTTTTTAAAGTTCATTTGGGACAATCAAACTCTGTCTTCCCCGAAAAACAAATTTCACTATACTATTGAATAATACTGTGGGAAAGGATTTTAGTGGCAATTAACGTAATTTTATATCACTATCTCACTTTCTTCTTTTAAGCTTATAAAAAATTGTTACACAACAAATAAGCTTCTTTATAAAATACTTGCATTCTCTTTGCATTTTTTTTTATCTCTACTATATTTTATCTTATTAAACAATGCATATCGATGAAAGTTGGTGCAGCAAGGTGACGACTTAGGATGATGTATGCTCTCATTATAATACTAGCTAATATTCTCTGACTCTTATTGCATTGAGCCTTAGATAGACAAATTCTCATTTATTTTGTTCTAAAGTAATATTGATTACTTTCTTTCTTAAAAAACAACGATTTGAATATCAACAATGATTTCACATATTTAAACATTTCACACTAATTATACATTGATTTCATTGATTGATTCGGTATTCATTATGCAGATTCTTTATTAGATTATTGCAGTCTAATTAAACTTAGACTAAACTCGCTTTCCGTTTTTTATTAAGTATTATTTTTAATTTAGCCATTTAAGTTTGATGCCGCCAACCAATCAAATTTCTTTCATCTCCAACGTTGGCATTTTGTGACGCAAACAAAAGCTGCAATAGGTATCTAATGCTTCTCGGAATACACCTTTCTATCGAGTCACAAAATCACAGCGTTCGAGAGGGCAGAAATTTTATTGTTTGAATTTATTAAGTGGCTAAATAATAACATAACAAAGGAAAGTTTCGTTTAATTTGAATTAAACTGAGATTATTGTTATTTGATACCAAATGTCAATCAAATATCCACAAATTAACATGAAGCGTTATGTTACTACAATGGTATATTTCAGACAACGTCTCCTTGGCACCAACAGAAAGGTTGAATATCACAATATTCACACAGGAAAGTACTTGGAACGAAGCCTATTATGCTTGTCAATATCATGGTATGGAATTACTAACAATGAAATCAAAAGACGTTGCTGATGCTTTGAGTTTACTCTTTGCAAATAATTCAACGATTTCTTTAAGGTACTTGATGTATTGATTCAACTCGCATTAATATTGACATACATGACAACGGTTTGATTGACTATCGTGTGTATGAAAACAGCAAATGGTGTGGCATTCTTACACATAAAATACTAAATGCATCATTTTTGCAATTGGCATATTATGCTATTGTATTTCACACACTAATATAAAGCCTTCGTTTTCGCCACGTTTTTGGCAAATAGTTATTTAGATGGTTAACATTTTTTTTTTCAAAGACTGCTACTGGAATATTAACTCGATAGCACTTTAACTTTCAAAAATAGAAATGAAAAAAATACCAAAATGATTATTTTTACATTAAAGAAATGATGTTGGAAATCTAAAAAAAACAGCAACCTAAAATAACAGTATTTTGATTTTAATTAATTTTAATTGATTTTCAAAAAACAAGGAAAAGGAAAAACAATTTTAAAATTTTCAAAGATTCTATAATATTTTTTCGGTGCAGATTTACAAATTATTCAATACCATTACTAGTAATAATATTGTTTAATTCTGCGTGTACACAGATAAACAACTCGGATGATGATGCCAATTTTTGACGTCCAAGTGAACTTTTAAACAAATCATAAAAATGGTGCAAATATCACGGAGTTAAAATTCCATTCCTTTTACATGTTAACTAATGCTGTCTGCAAGAAGCGGGCACAAGTGCTAAACGTTTTCGTCTTTATTTAAGCGGAGGATAGTTGATCGAGGTGTAAAAACAATATCTGCTAATTGCCAAAAGTTTGCAGTTCCCAGATTCTGCCTGTTGCAAATTAGATCCTCCTCATAACTTCAGACATAAACAATTTCATTTTAGTGAAACAGATTATTGGATTGGTCTTTACGTCCTAGATGTAACCACTGAATTTTTTCAATGGACTGATGGTGACGGTCTTGGAAATTGGACTCTATGGTTTTCTCCAGAACCAAACTCCATTCAATCTGACAGATGCGTCCGTGTACACGAAGATCCAACCAATTCCTTTGAGTGGAAAACAATGCTATGTGACCGTCCTTATGCATTCATATGCCAACAATATATTGGTATGTATTTCGTTTTGTATTCCCGAAGACTTTCTTGGAACAGATGGAGAGTTTGGTTATCAATATCTTTCTTCAATGGATGGAGTACAAGTTAATAATTTTTTAAAAAAAACTCAAACCCTATGCGACACAGGTCAGAATTTCTTCATGACAAATTACTCACTAAATGGTCATTTGAGAAAATCAAAAAAAAAATACAAACCAAAATTGAGATCATAGTAAAATTCCACATTTGTTGAAAGAGCATTTATCTCCCTTCATTTTAAATAAGCAATGACAATCCATCAGAGGTAAGACGAAATATGGGAGAGAACTCATGCATATGATACTGATGACCGGTTATTCATTGCTGTTACTTTTATATCAGTGTGATCACAAAATGTTTCTGATATCGAGACATGCGTTCCAAACGTCTTCCTTTCAGGAGAATGTACAATGGAGCTGACCTCATTGTTACCAGTTGAAGAAAAACAGAAAACAGTTAGAGTAGTAGATAGTGAAAAGGATTGTAACAACTTGTGTCTGTCTGTAATACTCAACAGCACTGAGCAATGTTTTATAGCTTATAAAGATAAACAATTTTGCAATATGTATCTTTCGGAAAACCCAGGAGATTTTATACAAGTAGACAAAGTGCTGCCAAAAGACGTGAATTACTACAGAAAGATTTGTTTTCAAGGTAAATTTTGAACGGTGCTTGTCAGTTGCAATAGATCCACTGAGTATTGCCCTGATTTCCACATCAGGACTTTGTTATTTAGAAATGGTAATGTATCAACTATAAGCATCTCATCCCAGTGCTTGAGAAAATAGACCCGGTGTCGGCTTCAAAATCCATTTCCTTATTGACAAATAGGTACTATTAATTACAAATATTTTGCAGGTTTCAAAAGTCAGCGTATGGTCAACTACACTAATACACATACAATGCCATTTATGAATAGTAGTGTAAGCGATTCATATTTAAATTCATCCGAGATAGACACCTTAAACCACAAGACAACTGTAACTACCACATCGCCTATTTCATCTGAAATGACATCAGCTTCAACAACATCCGATGATGCTGTAATGTATGACGAGTTGACAACGTTGATATTGTCTCATCAGTTCGAGTCATTAGAGCAAAGAGATACGGCATCACTAAAATCAAGTACAACTATGCTATCGACAAACAAATTATCTGCGCTGTCAACATCAATTTTAACATCGCAATACATGCCGTCAGAATATTTGAATTTATACAGTACACCACCATGGACTATAACGGAAATTATAATGACGATTCACTCCACGCCAACTGAATCATCAACGCTTATTGGGGCATCTGAAATATCTATATCAGTATCATCAATTGAGTCTTCTGCGCTCTCTGATCTGATATCTTCATCTGACGCCTCTTTATCGGATGCCGAAACAGAAACAACATATGAATTAGAACCATCTTTAACATCCAGAGAACTTCCTGAACACACAACCTTCCCATCTGTCTTCTCATCAATATCAGGATGGTTTTCGGTGGAAATACATTCGTCATCAAAAGTATGGTCAATTTATACAGAAGAAATGCTCAGATCAACAACTGATATTCTGACACTTGAATCCATTCCGACAATCAACTATTCTACTTATAAAAGACGTATGTCAGATTTTCTTCAAGACAAAATTTGGGATAAATGTAGTTCATCGACGTTTAACATTATTTTAGAGAGAGCCTGGTTTTCGTTGAAGAAGTCTAGCTTATAGCTTATATGGATTGGATTTGCACGTTATAATTAGATTCATTTGGGTGATTATCTTGATCGGTTTCGGTTAATATACCGAGACAATAATTCGTCTTAACCTGAGCAGTGACCAGTGAGGATAGATAGCTTGTCAGAAACAAGTTTGATATCAATCGTCAAAATGTTCATGCTATCACTTTTTCATTTCAGAATGCGCATGTCCATGTCCAGAGAATGGAGATTTTGAGTACAAGAGGTACAATTACAAGAAGTCTTTGATAGAGACACTTCTAGTGCCAAAGAAACAAACAATGTCGTATCAACGTAAATTATACTCGGTGTCCAATCAACGAACATCGTGTAAAATTTTGGGAATATTTGGAATCTTATTAGTATTACTTCCCATAGTTTTAAATACTTTGAATGATTGTAGATTAATTATTAATGAACTTTATAAACATTATCATTATGTTTAGATGAGGTTCAACAGTCCAACAATTTGTTTTAAAAACTACTTATTGTGGTCTATCTGATATGCTTTGGGCAATATATACATTTGGGCCAAAGTGGATAACAAGGCAATAAAGGTTATTTCCTATCTTTTTCTTAGACAACATTGATCTTCACGTGACAAAGCGACGATGACTTAAGTTAATCCTTTGACTCTGTTACTGCTGGTCCGCCTTCTTTATAAACGCATTTGAGTAAATCCGTAGAAATTGACTAGAGTGGCATCCGTCAGGTCAGAGTTACCCGGCAAACCAAGCCAGCTCGGCTCACCAAGCTAATCCTCCAAATATAACCAGACAACGCGTCGAAATTTGTTTGTGAACACATAAGCCTACAGTTTTCATGTGATTTTAATGAAATGTGGTTTGATCATTTATATTGATGATATCTTGGTCAAGTTCGAATATAACGATTTTTCGCTGAACAGTTTTAGAGTTATTGCCCTTGACTTTGTTTGTGAACACAATAGTTACTACAGTTTTCATAAATACATAAGATGTCATCTGATTTTAACAATTTTCTGTAAAATGTTGCTTGTGAGCGCGATAGAGGAGATAATTTTGTGTTGGTTTAAATCAACAATATCTTTGGCAAGTTAGATTTTTCGTACGAATTGAAATAGTTTGGTGACTGCCCTTGATGACAGTTTTATCAGGGAAGTGGGCGAATCTTGCTAGGCAAACACTTGTTAGTTGTTATTTTAAAGTAAAGACATCATATCTGACTTAACTCGAGGCATGGGATTTGAAAATTTTTGAACTGTTAAAGGGTGGAGGGGGGTGTGGGGCTTTGTAGATAGAATGAAATAGTTGAACAATTAGTTGTTCTATTCTGTCAGGTAACTGAATCTGTCAGTCATGAAACAACCTTGACCCTGCAGACTTAATGGTTTTTAATCTGTACTGAACCTTTTCAGTACCATACAATCTTTACCTGGAGGTGCTATCGAATTACTTAACCATAGGCGTTCATTCTGAATATAATAAAAGTTCTCACTTTCATGTCATTCTCGTCAGTCAGTTTAATTGAAATTAAGATTAAATTGACCTGGCCCCGTAGAGTTTGTAGAGAGGCAGTGTTAGTTAGTATAGCAGCGATACAGTTGCGAATGCTAATAAAAAATGTTGATCATAGTTTCGAACACAACTCTCATGCTACCACTTTCATTATTAGCAAACATACGCTACGTAATCACTATGGCGTGAAGACACTTAACATGGGAAACGGCTACGCCTACTGCGTTCATGCACAGGTGGTACCTACTGGATACTGTTTCCATCTCATTAGCTGGAAAAACTTTGATCAATGAAGCAGAACCTCAAGAATGACTTCCACCCATGGCTTTATTTATACCACAATTTCAAGAGATGTAACCTGAAATAGTCATTGAGAATATGATTTTCAATAAGATACAATAAGCTAATTATCATCTGTTCTAGTTAAACATTGACAAATGCAGACATGATATGAAAGTAAGTTCTAGAATTTCCCGACTGAAACACTTAACAGTTTTGTTGGTGAAGAAAAATTGCCTAAGAGTGTTTCTTCATGTTCGTTTTTCATGTTTTGTTTAATACAATGTATTTACTGTGCTTTTTTCAATTTTTACATGTACAATATGGAATTAGCGTTTTGGATAAGAAAACTGAAAACAAGACAAAGGAAATACCAAACATACCAAACTCTTGTGATTGCGTTTGGTACGATGTCAATTGTCTGTTATCAGTACTTGCTTGTTTGACATAATGACAGTAAGTTGTGATCGTAATAAGACTAGAACATATCAAACTATCGTGTCCAATTTGCTAGCAGATTACTTGGCAGGATGACAGTTTTCTGTGATCAGAATGAGACTAGAGCATACCACACTATCGTGTCCAGCAAGCTAATAAAGTATCTTCAAGTGTCAAAACGTACTCGCGGAAAACAAATCGATGAATGAGTAAATCTGATTTGCTTCAGTAATTCTTCAATCATTGATTTGATTTTATTTCATCATCACATATATTGATTAAAGCAAAATATTTCAATAATTAACTAATTCATTACAAAAACAGGATACTAGCTGTTTTTTTAATAAGACACAACTAGTTAAAGATTATCTTCTTCTGTAATTCTGGTAACCCGATTGCTTAAAGTAACGATCATTTCTAATTTTATCAGAATTCTATAATGGATTCAGTAAGATATCGTCTCCCATTTCTTTTTGTTCAAATCAGTTATTTGTGCAATATCTATGCGTCTTCCCTATACCGTTCCTTCCACATCAGCATTCTTTTTTTTGCCCTAACATGACATTCCATCCCTTCAACTGTGGATATTATTTATACTATTGTTTGGATTGTACCTATGGAAAAATACCAAGTGTACGATTTGGAACATTAATTGGGACGTTATTTTTATGATCGTTCGTGTCAGTCGCCTGAGCAACTTTGTATTAGAATTGGTTAATAATTCATATTCATTAGAGCAATAAAGTAATCATAGTTTCTTTGTTCACTTCCAACGAACAGAAGTTTCCAGATTAAATAATAAATTTCGAGTAGAGGTAAGGGATTTTTTTCAGTCCTATAATCAAGTTTTTTTTTTATGGAATACAACTAAGGGAGTAAGAAGACTTTTCTTTTGAACATGATTGGATCTCATTGCAGAGGAAGTCTCTGTCATCCATCATATACATTTTGAATGTTGAAGTTTAATTTAAGGGGTATCGCATTAAATTTTGTGAGTCAGAATGACCCATTTTGCGTTCCAATATTAACTTTGATTAGATAAAATAAAAATTTATCACCAAGATCTTCGAATCAAAACAATATCTATATTTTCTATGAAAATAATCTGCCAAATCTATAAATATACAGGTACATGTAACTCTCGGCATGAGGCAAATGCCTTGATGTAGTTACGACCCTGCAATCGTGTATTATACTGCATAAACTCCTTGTGGAAAGCCTTTTTGTCATCTTAATAAATGGGTGATCTCTATAACCATAATGTAAAGAATTAAAGTCTTTGGCAAGATCGATCTAAATTCTACAACAGGAAAATTAAAATTGCTGTCGAATGTTTTTATGAAATGAGAATCTACTATTAACTTTATTAGCCAAAACTTAAATTTAGTGTGATAAATAGCTAATAAATTTTTCTATCTAAATTGAACCCCGAGTAATTACTGTCTTTGCATTATTACTTTATGTCGAATAATTACTGATTTATTATAATTTCGTTAATCCATCAGTCGTATGCAAAACCATTCAAAATACGTACACATTCAATGGGCATGACTTATTTGAAGAAACAAATTTCCGTCAAAAATTTTCAAATGAAAAATGTCAATTTCAGCTAACAGCAATGAGATCCACAGTTACTTCTTGTATTTTATTATTAATGGTATGGGGTAAGTATGTATTTTCTTTTATTTATTTTGTCCAAAAAACATAAGCGTTTGATAATGATTACTCACGAGTGTTCCAAAGTGTACGATTAATTTGACTATTTATATAAACACGGAGACTTTAACAGTATAATTCCTGACAGAGATCATCGATCACCAGGGCCCCTTCACATGGTTTTCATTTAAATCAAGGATTAGATTGAATAAAACAAATTAGAATTGAACATTACTAAATGCTTTCTTAATAACCTGGAAATACCATATCAAAAATTCATTCTGACGTTGATTTTTTCCATCGGTGAGTCTCACAATTAAACAGTTTTGATAATACGCTATATCTATAGAAAATATCCATATTGCATTAATAGTTGAACGGATAGTTGAAAAGAAAACCACCAAATTTGCAATATTTGTTCCAAATGAAGTACATAACTAAACAATATCGTTGACCATTTAGATTTTGGCTGTTTTCAAAATGGCTGCCACGAAGACGTTCCAATAAACATGGATATTTCTCATAACAAGCTGAATTTTTAGATTCAGAACTCTATAAAGCACAGCGAAAACCAAATGGGATAGAACAATATTTACAAACATTGAGTCCAGTGAAAATGTCATAGGAAAGCGTACACAGGTCGTGTCAAATGTAACAAATGCAGCCATCGTATCACGATTGCACAGCGCTATCATTGAGTTCATGGAAATTCTACGATGCTTGTCTAACGATCTTCTCGATTCCATGATGTTAGGTTTCAGGTTATTCCTCGCAAAGTTTCGTGAGTGGCAATCACAGTAGCTCTAAACCGCACCACTTCATGCAGCGGTCGCTTAGCGGTTCGGCACTGCGAATCCGAGTTGGGTACGATTCGACAAATGACATTGTGACTGTCTCCGGAATAGAGACTGACTTTTGCAATTAGTTGAAAAATTACAATTTCGACTACTGTAGTGACAGATGTATTTAGCTACTATGCAAATAATCAATGTGCTATACAATTATTACATATATATTTTTTTCGGCGGGATATCCTTGCAGAAACATGTTGCATATGCACGGTGCAGATCTTGGCGACCTTGGCCTACTTAAAGGAACATTCCGTTTTATTTCGAAATTTGTTTTGCATCAGCATCAGCATCTCCTGAAAGTTTTAAGTAATAAAATCCAGCCGTAAAGTTTTTAACAAAAACTATTTAAAAACCTTACATAAACTTTAAATAACGGAACATAGTTTTATGGTTTACTACTAGCTTTTAACTAATAAGGTCGAGCCATTAGCCATCGAGGTTATAAAGCCAAAATCAAAACTATGCCAAAGAGTATTCTCTTTTTTTTAAATTAACCCTTTTGAAACAAATTCAGTTTAATCATGGAGATACATATGAAAAGCATACTGAAATATTTTCAGGTGTGATTAACGATGTTGAATATTTTGCATACTGTATCTTTAAATAGAGGTCAATAAAACGTCACAGAACATTACAGTTAAATGTCTGTCTTTATAATCTGTAAATAGTATCAACCTTTGGCAGATCAATTTGGAACTTGGGGTCCACAATGGCACATGTAGGAGTATGAAATCCCTTGTTTCAGAGCTGTCGCAACTTAACATGGCAGATGTTTATTTGTTTTGCGTATTTTTACACATTTGTTTCATTCTATCGGATGAGAGTTGGCTATGCAATAGTCTCAACGCATTGTTTATTCGCCTAACCCCTATTGTTAGTCATTAACGGTCATTTTTCACTCCTTTGAAATTGATCCAGTTCGAACTTTAGCAAAAGGCCCCAATATACATTATGTTTTAGGTTTCCAATCTTGACCATAATTTCTGGTTCTGGAATAAAAAGGAAAATTCCATTAAATTGAGGACAACCAACAGTTGGATGAACTATACTCTGTTCCTTTAAGCTTTCGTCTTTATTCTTAACAATAACAAACTCCCTGTTTTGTTTATAGGCATCAACATGGCCTCTGCCAGAAATAAGTCGACCATTACAATATTTACAACTAAAACGTCATGGAATGACGCATACTGTACGTGTAAATACAATGACATGGATTTGTTGATGGCAAAGACACAAGGTACTATGGCCGTAACGAAGATTTTTCTACAAAGAACATTGACAAAGTAAGTCATGGTTTGATTTAAGTGAGGGTGTCCTTTAAAATTAGTATATTATAGTCGCAAAGCACCTTAGCCATCAACCTATATCGTTTACATGTTATACTAATGATCTATATTAAAGTCAAGGAGGTTAACAAGAGGTGATGAAAACATTCTGAGAGTAACATTTTTTTTATTATTTTTGATAGGGTTCACCCTTTGATTATGATAAACAATTTCACCAAGTTTAGTCTAACTCAGTCAAGAATTTTCTCTTTTTTATTTTAAATAGGGTTCATAGGAAATAATAAACAATTTCACTAAATTTCTTTAAAATCTGTCGAGAAATTTACCTTCTAGTCTGTTTACATTTCGTTTATAAGTTTTAAGTATATTTTAAATAAATTTGAATAATGATGATGAACACAATAGAAATAGGAATTTTCAATCGATATGGATGAAATTTTGCCTGATCATTTATATTCATGAGATCTTAGATAATTTCGAATAAGCCAATTTCTCGGAGAAACTTTTTTGAGTTATTTCCCTTGACTTAAAACCAGTCAAAATTAGTTCACGAGCACAATTCTACTTGAGCAGGAATTTTATTACTTTTGCAATGAACATTTTTAAGTATTGAACAGAAACTTGGTCGTATGTCTGACAAGTTATATTTATTCAAGCTACATGGGCAATTTCTGTTCTGAAATTTTATGTCTCTACATCCGCAGTGTGGTTTCGATAGTATTGTCGAAACTCAATCAATAAGGAGCAAAAGAAATGGACATTAAACTCTTATTTCATATAAATTTAAGTAACGACTTCTGGTTTGGTCTTCATCTTGATAAACGTATTGCTAATGGATATACATATAAATGGATTGATGACAGTGCACTGGGAACATGGGATAACTGGTACTCAACAGAGCCCGATCGTCAAAGTAGAGAAAAGTGTGTCCGTATTGACGGGAATCACTTCAGTTGGAAAACAATGTTCTGTTATAAACAGTATGAATTTGTTTGTCAAAAAGAAACCGGTACGTATTAAGCTTATTTATACGAAAGAAAGTATCGTCTGTCTTCAATCCAACGCCAACGCTTTTAAAATGATATTTAATTTGTCTATGATAATGTCAAGAAATTGTTGTTATGTAATATAACAAACAAATAAACTTTTTGTAGGTTCGTGTACTATGGAAGTGGATCATACAATTATGAGTAATGAACCTTATTATAATGTGACTGCAACAAAAACCGAATGTATACGGATTTGTAAGGTACAACAGGACAACTGTTATGGTGTGCTGTTCAGGAGTCCTTCTATGTGTTACATATATGAATCAGATGATCCGACCGACTTCATTCATTTTTCACAAAATACCTTCACTACAGACTTGACTACTTTAACGTATCGAAAAGTGTGTTACAACAGTAAGCATTAAACTATTTCTTTTCTTTTTTTTAATTCTAATGTTACATTATACATGTCAACGTGTTTTTTCGGGCTAAAAATAATTTTCAGTATAAAATAATTCTACAAGCTTTAAGCTATATTATTTATTTGATTGTTCCAGGCACAATCCGGACCTCCAATGTACCATATACAGACAGTAGTGACGATCCTCGACGACAGTGTTCACTGACACAGTATCCTTCTTCTTCAACAGAACCGACATCACCCTACACGGCAAGAACAACTGCTCCAATTACTTCAAAGCAACAATCGACATCACAAGAACAACCAACTCCATCATCGCCATCGGATTTATTCGTAACAGATAGCACTACATCAACAACGCCTGAACAATCACCTTTATTGATACCTGCAACATCAAACATCACATCTTCTACGATAACTAAATCAACAGCTACAACTACAAAGTTATCGTCCCAAACCCAACTAACATCAATATCAACTGTGCCATCCCCTCAACCAATGTCGGATCAAGCTTCGCAGTCTCAATCAACACCTTTATCAGTTTTAAGTACGGTGTCAAAACAAATGTCACCAACATCGAAAGTAGAGACAATATTGCCAGAAACAGATCTTCGTTCGTCGACTGAAACAACCTCCCAGCTATCATCAGTTGCATCAACATCTACAAAAATTATAAATTTGTTATCCCAATCGCCACTTTCAACTTTAACAACGACATCGGAACGAGTGTCATCGACGTCAAAAATAGAGACGACAGAAACAACCTCCCAGCTATCATCAGTTGCATCAAGATCTTCAAGAATGATCAATTTGTTATCCCAATCACCACTTTCAACTTTATCCACGACCTCAGAACGAGTGTCACCGACGTCAAAAATAGAGACGACAGAAACAACCTCCCAGCTATCATCAGTTGCATCAACATCTACGAAAATTACCAATTTGTCGTCCCCATCCACAACTTTATCTATGGCCTTTGAACAAGTGTCATCAACGTCAAAAATAGACACAATATCACCAAAAACAGATCCCGCAGTGTCTACTCCAGAAACAACCTCTTATTCATCAACAGCAACTAATTTCGTCTCACAAACATCGCCATCGAATGTGATGCATTCACCGACAACAACGCTACCAGTATCGGTTTCACAAAATGAAGAAGCCTCTCAGACATCAGTAGTTGCATTGACAACGACAACCAAGTCATCAACTTCAGCATTGACAATAACGCCACAAGCGACTTCATCTGGAGTACCTTCAACGACTCAGCATACATCAACTGCGTCTGAAACAACTTACATTACGGAAAATATGACCTCTACAATGTCATTAGCCTCAGACACTTCTTCAGCTACTCTTCAAAACAATAGTACAGTCATTACTACATCACACCCAACATACCAGACATCACCAACCGAATATTTTTTAAGTGAGTAATTATATAACCATTTTTTAATTTTTTGATAACGGATAGAAAACTTAAATTATACAAATTATACACTGACCAGCTCTTACGAAAGATGGAAGTATAACGGTGTTCAACCACTTTTTCTCGATATTATTTATTTAGATAAGATTTATTACATATACGCCCATTGTGGGCAGCATACAAATATAAAACAGTTCAATAAGGTGAAATATATAATGAATGTAGATTTAGTATAGATATATGTTACTTTACAGATAAAACAATGTACAGGTGTCATGGTCCTTTATAGGTCGATAACAAACATTAAAACGGTACAATAATGTGAAAAGATTAAATGAATATAGATATAATATAATTAAAATACGTTCAAAATAAGCATCAAAATATCAATAATACAAAAAATATAAAACAAAGTACAACTATCATGGTCCCTTTTTAAGTTCATCAAGAGCAAAAAACACAAGCCGAGACAGAAAAATGTATTTTGCTATAAAAGGTGGCGGGTCTAGTATAATATGAAGGGATAGGTATAAATTTGTATGGGCGTTAAATATTTCTTGAAGAAAATCTGATTAAGATTATTTTATGCCATGTTATTTACAGGACAAAAGATATGTGGATGCCCTTGTTTAAGAAGAGCAAAGAAAACAGCCGAAAACGTCGAGAAGGAATCAGATGAACTTGTTGAATATCTCTCTGTTGATAAAACAGCAACTGTATCATTTCAGCGTAAACGGGTTTCAGCGCCAGACGACAGAACATCTGCAATGACAGTTGGGACCACAGGGGTTGTTTTGATATGTCTAGTATTTGGCGTAGTGCTTTTATTAGACATATCGCAGTTTGTAATGTATTGCTGGAAGTTAAAGAATGACCCGAGATGAAAATATATTGACATAAAACTGTTAGATATTGGATATAAATTTCGAAGTTTATATGAATTAACGTAACGTACCAATGACTCATATTTACACATGTAATGGAATTTCATTAGCTTAGAAAATAAAGGTCAAATTTAAATCAAAAGCAAAGTGATATTTTATTCATGGGGGGGGGGGGGGGGAGGGATCACTATGGTAGTTGAGCCACCGAGTCTGAAAATATATAAATACATGTATAGCTCAAAGATTAAACCAAGAGCGAAATTAGTATATAAATCGTTACAACCTCGACGTGAATCATGTCTGACTCCTTTACTTTAAGGGTTAATTATTCAGATAGACGAACAACTACATGCAGTGTGCAATTGTAATTTTGAGAGACACATACTTTCACTTTCACATCTAACCCTCGACACTTACAGTGAGAACTTGACAAAAAATGGAAAGTACTACAAAAATTCCCCTGTGTTATTGGGCGTAAATGTGTCTTTTAGAGCCACTAGGACGTCCAAATAAATATTTTTCATTTTATATTGATAAATTACGAAAGAAATTTGATTATTTGTCTACTTACAGCATGGATTAATAGAATGTATGTTTATAAAACATTTTTCTAAAAAAAATATACTGTAACAGGCTTTATAAATTTTAGACAAATATGTCTTATGATCCTAAAAGGGTTAAACCAACAAATAAAGTAATACAACTTAGAAATTATCCCGCTTTAAACTTTTGACTAGATTGTATCAGAATGTCAATTGAGGGCAAATAATATTATCTTATTGATGGTCATCATTATACTATTTTTTATAAAAGTCGAACGGTGGAAACTTTACACATGTTGTTGATGTTTAGTACAGAACGTCTCTAATTATCACCACAAGGTAAATCATTTATTTTATTGTGAGCAAATGCATTTTCAATGTTTATCTCAAAAATAGAACTATCTGACTATAAATAATATCTATAGCTACGTATCACCATGTGCTGCAAGGAAGTGATGACGCATGAAAGAGATCTTTAAATGCTTCATCTCGTTTCTTCGTCCTTTGTAAGAGACATGTTTCAGTTTTTGTCATGATCAGTTTATATACGAAAAGAAATTTTGATTGTCACATTTCTGTCCATTGGTCACGTTCACGTGCTTATTCTAATCTGCAGTTTTGATCCTTACCTTCTATCTGTATTTTTGCAAGATGTCTACCGACTTTTTCACTATCAGCATTAAGCTTAAATCATACGTGACGCATTGAACGGGTATTTTATTATATAAAACTAAATCTCTTATATATATTTAAACCTTTTTTTATCAGCTAGAAATAACTGCATATTCCAATAAACCTTAAATGATGTTTCTTCAACCAATTACAATACTAATGTTGTTGACTGGCTACAATGCGTCTAGTTCGAGTTCTTCGAGCTCGGAAAGCTCTTCAGAGGAAAATAATATAAGTAAGTATTCTAATTCTAATTTCAGATCAGAATAAGAACAGAAGAGACCCCAATATCAAGACCCTTAATCCTAATTTCTAAATAAAGTGTCTGCTCCACCCTAGGCCTGTACATTTGGGAGAATCCAAACCCTCCGAAAACTAAATATTTATTAACTCTGGCCGCAATGGCGGGCGTGGTTCCAGACTGGGATTTTCTGGACACATGTTACTTTTTTTATTATGTAACACATACTATTTACACTACATTGATACACTTCCTCATGTGAAAGTTCAATAGCTGCTTCCAATGTATTGCCAATAATGTTGTTTTGGATTTCGGGTTTCGTTTTGCGGTTCGGATTGTTAGTACTTGGTTTATGTAGGTGTAAGTGTTTTCAAAGTAGGGATTGAAAGGCGCCATTTGCATCGAACATATCCTTTATCTATGCTAATATCTTCAATAATAAAATATTTTCACTGTTAAAATAGTGCTCAATATGTCAATTGTAGAGCGATATAGAAATATTCCATTTTGGTTTTGAAACAGTTAAAAAGACAGCACGCTGCTAATAATAAGGAACTTGATACGTCTAAGAATTAAGACTCTGGCTTCTCCTAAAAATATACAGGCCCAGCGTTACTGAAAGTTTGAACCTAGGGAAAGCTAGAGAAAGGGTTTAATTAAAAAACATAACGCTATACTCTATCCTTTCAGTGACTCTACAATTTACTTGTTCCTCGACTGATGACAAGACAATACCAATAATAGAAATTTGTGACGATCAAAATCAATGTGTAAATGGACTTGATGAAAGTTCATGTGGAGGTAACAAAATAATTTTCTTGATTATTTAAGGAATGATCTGAACATATTTTCAGTTTATCGATGTATAAACAGAAAAAACCTGTGTACACTGTATAAATCCGCGTAGCGGTTTATACATAAGCGTACACAGATTTTTTCTGTTTATATTTGCGTCCATTTTTATGCCCATGTCCTTTTTTACTTGACCATCTGTTTCTTAAAATATTCTAGTAATGAGGACATTTCTGCACTCAATTGGTTTAATGAAGATGGGTATGACATGCAGTGTGCACACGGTCCGTCCCGAATTACTGGAGGATCTGTATCAAAAGCAATGGTAACCCTATGGCGGACAAATTCGTAGGTTTAACTTGATAACCGTTGTGCTAAAAGTTGTACCCGAAAGCTGAGAATGGATAGACCCTTTGCACTAGAAATGGCAAAACATATATCGTTATTTGATTTATAGCTTACATACCTAATTGAGCCTTTTTCCTGTTCAACCTTTAGACTGTGCAGATTTCCAGTTCAGCTGCTCCACGGGTCCAGAGGCTAATCTGTGTACAGATAACTCTGTAATATGTGATGGAGTAGATGATTGTACTGATAACTTTGATGAAGAGAACTGCAGGCTAGTGTGATCTGTACAAGAACCATGTTCACTGCTGTACCTAGAAATAATCCGATTTTCACATTTCTTTCAAATTCAGTTTTATACTAGTATGTAGATATTTGAAAATAAACCAAGAACAGACTCTTATTTTATTTTTTTATACATCATTTTAATGCTTTGACCCAACCACGTGTTATTTCGTTATTAGACAATAATATATTAACATAATTATATGGCTACATCCAACCATTCATTATTAATGAAAGCCAATGAAAATCCATCCTACATTATTTAATATTCAAAATTAATGGATGATGGCCAGGTGAAGGCGGATGATTAAGAGATTTTTAAAAAATTTTTCACTAAACTCGTCGATACAGTAAAGATTTGAATGAGAATTTATTGTTTACAACAGAACATTGCATCACATTGAATAATATATTAGACCACCCGATGGATTTCCGGAAAAATCTATAAAATGATAGTATTTTGATGAAAGAATTATCATGATAAATGCTCTCAAACGCTTTTAGAACATCAACAGATAGAAGTCCATTTTTATAGCCATGTAAGCGTCAAAATGTGTATCTTCTTGAGTTTCTACGAGACCAAAAGGCAATATTTTCCGATAATCTATGTAGACAAATTCTTTATAAATTGTGCCTTATACTGTTCTAACGATTTCAAAAGTGTATGGGTTTCAAAGATCAAGGGCCATAACTCATATATTATTTCGAATTTATTAATTTTCGTTAGGATTCACTAGGTATTCAGAATAATTCCGAATCTTCAGAATCTGAAATATAAAAGAAACCATGGACATTATAATAAGCATTTTTTATTGCTGAAACTGGGGAATTTCTGCTTTGATACTAAACAGGTTTCGTAAAAATTCAAATCGTGCCTTCTGTATAGTTGACGAGCATTTCGAAACAGACCAACATACATGGGTGACGTCAACATAGACTCCACGTTTGAAGTAGGCGTATAAAGATATAATACAATATAATATGTCATTTATTTATCTACAGTTTATATCATAAGTCATTATTGTACTCCCAATTAGTAAACAAAATCAATTTTAGTGCCTGTCAGGAATGTAGTTGTCTGGTATCTCTCGTTAGTGTTTGAAGGAGATTTGTTTTTATGAAGCGAGCTTAGGAGACAATGAATTTTTATAAATTACTTACACTGTTTTTCTTGATACTCCCTGGTGTTGTGTCTACACAGAATTTCAAATCTGATTTTTTTGTTTTGTATGAAATTGATAAACGTTATGGTGGATATAGTAATGTAATATTTGTAAAGACTTTGACAAAGTGTGCACAAATTAGTTTCATAAATTACCGTCCATCATTTGCTTATCATAAACAACGTCAACAATGCTACCTATATGAAGCTTGGCCTTGTAATTCGACAACAACTGACAAAGGAATAGCAATATATGTTGTTCTTGAAGGTAGTATTTTATTTTATATTTACTTTATCATTCGTCTTTTCATACTATATTGAATAATATGGTAGAGATTTTAGAACAGTGTTCCTCAACAGAGGAGAAATTCCTTCCCAAGAGAAGAAATGGCAGACCATGGGGAGTTGGGAGGGGGGGGGGGAGGGGGGCGGAAGCGAAGATCTACGACTGCAATTGACCCCTGGCGTACAGAAAATAAGAACATCGTGAACAAACATTCGGCACAAACGTCACATTGAACTATCTCGATATGTAGAGTACGATTTTTATCCATTCATGGTTAATCGTTGAATACAATTTTGGAGTGAAATACATTTCAAAAGATTTGGAAGAAGTCTTCAGTGGAGGAAGGATCTCATTAGGGTAGAGAAGCACTCTTTTAAAAGGTATCAGCGTTCATAACAAATTATGGTTTACGCTATTTGTTCTAAGTAAATTTCACGGAAGTATCATATGAAACTCGACGAGGAGATCAA